GCCCCGGGCCCCGGCCGGGCGGGGGGTTCGGCCGCGGCTGAAAGGGCCGTTACCCGCCGCGCACTACCACCGCTGCGGCTCACAAGGGAGGGTGCGAGAGCGACTGCAGCCAGGCTTCCTCCTCGGGGCACGCAGGCAGCGACGGCACCCCACCGCCGAAGGGGGTGCTGCTCCTCGGGCAGGGCACACCCGCACCCGCGGGTGACCCAGCGGCACCGGGCAGCAGCACCTGGCAGACGCCGGAGTCTCAAGCGAAGTACAGCCAGGAGACAAACTCACCTGCCACACATCAGCAACAGCCCTAGCACCATTAGCAAGGCTGGCACTCATTTCAAATTGCAGTCCTTGACCCGCCACAGAGATTTAGGAGTTGGGGAATGCTGCTGTTGCGTATTCAAAACAAAAAAATACTAATTTACACATAGGCCATGACCTTCAAGGTACTACAGAGTTTGACCTGAGATGACAGCACTGCGAAGGCCAGAAGAAACAAGCTGCTGTGAGGCCCCAAAACACTTCAGAATCAAGCATGCACACACCCCAGAGCTGTCATGTTTGGGTGGGTCTAGTCTAACCTAGTGGAAACAAACATCTATGTACAAGACCTACACTTAACCTGGGATTACTTCTGCTGAAATAAATAGCATTATTTAAAACAAAATTACAGAAAGGAAGATGAAAGGCGAGCAGTTCAGAATACTTTTCTGACAGCAGCACAAGAAGGGCAGCAGAAAACATGAAACACTGGTCAAATCAGTCAAACTGGCAAACCAAAGCTTTATTTTTTGTTTAAAGTCTTTGCTACAGTACCTAGGACTGCACCTCTATACATAATTAACAATCATTCCTGAAAGATCTGTATTTGGCACCAGTTTGTGTTTACCTCAAACACTTGTGGGGAAGATTAATTTCAAATCAAATTTGGTTTTTCAACAGAATAGGAGCTGCCATCACGAAGCCAATTAGCTGAGTTATTAGAGAAGCTTAAAAACAAAGCAAAAAACCAATGTCCTTATCTAAACCAACACATCACAGAGAGCTCCAAAACAGAGGTCAAACATTAAAAGGCTGATATAGGCTTAAGTGGTTTATAAAACCTATAAAAAAGACTACACCAGCAAATATGCCCTTTCAGTCCACACAGTTTAGAAATTAATGCAGGGAGCAACACTCACTAGCTGGAAATCTTGGTATATGTGTGGTTCTCCCATGACGACAGGAGTACCCAAAATCAAATGTTAAAACGCTCCAATTCCCAATCCACATAAAAGGAGAGAGATTCATAGGAAGATTAAATCAATCCATGAAATCATAATTGGTTGGGCAGTTCAAACTTCCCCCAGCAACCACTACATCACTCATACACACAGGCTCACGTGTACACGGCTCAATCCCATTCAAATTCCTCATGGAATAAAAGGATCCCAGGCTTTATTGAGTCTTCCCTATCATGCAAGAAATAAATCTGGCTGTGCTTTAATCACCATCATGTATTACTTCAGCCACAGAGTACCAGGCAGATTAAGTAGAAATGCACAGTTTTTAGCTCATCATCTCTGCAGAAGTGTTTGAGAGGCTCAGTTTCTGGAGAGTTCTGGGTGGGCACACAGTCTCTCTTCATGCAGACTCACTAGCCTCTACTGGTTTAATCATGTGGTCCGGTTTGTTGCCAGCAGCATAGTGATCCCACATTTGAAGATAAAGCCGCTCCAGGTCCATTGTGTACTGTTTCGTGTTGAACAAAGGACTGGATATTCTCTGCTTCCAGACTTTGCCACGTATTTTTTTCAGGCTACAAAAAGAATTAGAGCAGTCACAAGAGGTTCCAAACACTTCATAATATTGTTCACTTTTGAAATCTACTATTTTCAGCTAACCCAGAACTGTCAGTGTTTCAGAAACATCTGCTCCCCCACTTCTACGAAATTCATATTGCTGTTTCATCCCCTCATCACTTCTGATAGACCAGCATGACCACTTCAACTCAGAAGAGTTATGACATTAACACATTAACTTGTTGCATTACCTGTACTGCAGTAACTTTTTACAGCGCAATTTTAACTTGCGGTAAGTGACAACTGCTTAATCTTCAATTGAAAAAGAACAAAAAGTGAACTATTGCATTTTTTACCAGGTAAGAGCCTGCACATGAGCAATTTCTTCAGAACAGGCAGCATTGTTACTCAATTGGGAGCGCTGTTAAGTTTACTGTAAAAGCAGAAGCTGAGTTAACTGCAAGACAAGAAACTTCTAGATGAGGATTGCCTAGCTATTTTAAATATTAATGTATCTACAAGATTAAAACTACTGATAAGTCTCAGCACCATGCCCAAATATAGCACTTTACATTCTTCATGTTACCACATTACACAGTACAAGTTTGCTTACTATTCCAGATCAGTTCCCAGTTTCACAGCAATATCCTCATATTCCTGTCTACTTTTGGCAATGAGCTCAAGACAACCCAGGCAAGTAAGCTGGGAGGCAGCAACTCGTGATGCAAGAGTCTCGCCTGTTTAAAAAAAAAAAAAAATTGGTAACAGGAGTAAGCTTGTCAAGTAACATATTGCAGAGTCTGCCTCTAAAAGACACAACAAAGTTTGCTGGGCTTGTTGTCTGTTATTAAAAAATTAATAATATTCAAACCTATCTGTTCTACATAGGTTCCCCACTGCGTTACCTGGCATAGTGACCATTGGAGTCCCAGCCCAGAGTACATCCATCCCAGTTGTGTGCCCATTGCAAAGTGGAGTGTCTAGACAAACATCAGCCAATTGCCCTCTCCTCACGTGTTCTTCTTTGGGGGCAACAGGAGAAAAGATGATTCGGTTTTGGGAAAGACCCAAGTTTTGTGCGTATTGCTGAATATTGGGTTCTCCTACAGCTGGGAAACGTAGCAGCCACAGCACGCTGTTCGGAACTCTTTTTAGGATCTATAACAAAAATAAAGAAGCAGATACAGAAAGTTCAGTCAGAAACATTTCCTTTTCCGAACAAGAGATTACCACATACCGAAATGAACCAAAAGGCATAGTCATTCAATATTTTAATCTTCTGAGGTATAGAGCAGGAAAACTAGGATTGCATTTCTAATCCTACTGAAAGAGACAGCAACTCTGAGCAACAGTTCATAGAGCAGTACTAAGTCTTGAAATTTATGATGCCATTTCTTCATAGGCCCATGCTATGGAATATAAAAAGATTACCCCTCAAGTAACTCTCAGCAATACACTATAAACTGGACCACTCAGTGCTCAGATCTGTCAATCTACCAACTGCCAAGGCCAGTTATGACTTAATTTTGCAAACTAGGGAAGACTAAACTTCTTTCACAATGGAGTACCAGCATACTTAAGCTGTCCAAGACGTAATTTTTCACTGGCTAGAAGCACAGATGTGATTTGAAATCAATCTGAAAAATTCTATATTCTATTAACACTAAGTCCTGCAATATGAGCATTATAAGGATTCCAACGTCTCGGGGTCAATGTTTTCCACAGAACAATTACAGTCTTAACTTGCATGAAGTTTCTGCTAACTCGAACAGAACAGCTATGTTCCAGAAGTCTGACCTTAGCTTTTTTATTAGATACAGATACTCACATTAGCCCACATCTGTAAAGTGGAAGGATCAATCTTATACAGCTGATTAAAGTTACAGTATACAACAGCATCCTCTGGTAAGCCATACTGAGAACGGGTAGTAACAATTATAGTTCGTGGAACTTCTTCGCCAGTTGCTGCTTTGTTGTTAATCTGAAGGAAAAAAAAAAAAAAAAAAAAAAAAAAAAAAAACTTTTGGAAACACGAAGTAAGCCATACTGAGAACGGGTAGTAACAATTATAGTTCGTGGAACTTCTTCGCCAGTTGCTGCTTTGTTGTTAATCTGAAGGAAAAAAAAAAAAAAAAAAACCAAACAGAACAGCTATTGGAACACTGAAATGGCAGGGAACAAGACTATGCCCTGAGGAATCGTCCCGAGACACACTGCAACATTTGTTAGCATCGTAAGTTACTATAAGCATATCTCTGGTTTTATTATAATAAACCAAAATTGTCTACTTACCTGTAACAAGAATTTAACTGGTATGTGTACACGCTTGTGGATGCCCCAATGTTGCAACCACCAAGGCACAAAACACTGGGCATTTTCATGCCCTTGCTATATCTCCCTGGAATTCCAAGTAACTCGAATAATTGGAAAGAAGAATCGTATAAAGAGCCATTACACATGGACTCGTCCCCTCCTCAAGGTCACTTCATTTCCTCGAGACCAAAAAATGAAATTAAGACTTCAATGAAGAATAAAAGAGTATTTAGAAAGAAAAGGGGTTTTTTGGTTTGTTTGTTTTTTGTGGTTTGCTTTTGGGGTTTTGTTTTGTTTTTAAGGTAAAAGACAATAGGCACAAAATGAAGATGCAGACTAATATGTAACTGATAGACTGTGAGGAACTAGCTGACAAGGAAATAATGGGAAATGCTGAAAATCAGACTAGAAGAGTAATTAATGAACTTTCAAAAAAGAATGGATCTTACAGCCTTCACAAATAATAGGAATATGCAAAAGACAGCAGAGGATGAAGTTGGGATACTCAGCGTACCATGCAAGAGTCTTGATGATTAGTAAAATGGAAGTATGATTTTTTTTTTATTTTTTTTTTTAGTAGTAACAGGTAATGGTGGGACAAAGAGACAAAAACATCTAAGCATACTGTTGGCAAACTTGACATGAATGACAATGACTCACTGTCACTGATTCCATTAGAAGATGCACAAGATAACTTAGTTCAACAAAACTTGGTAAAAGTGCTACTTATCCAGGTCACTGAGGAGACCTCAAAAACACAATGCACAGTTCTCATCAACCTATGCCCAAAAGTAACTTATATCAAATTAGAACAAGCACAAGGAAGGGTTATATTAGTGTGATCAAAAGACAGAAATCCTGTTTTAGACGTGCACCAACAGAGCTCAGATTGTTTCATCTTGGTGGCAGAGTGCTAAGACAAGAATTCTCTATTATTTTCAGAGGACAACAATTACAGAAAAAAATGCTAATAAGCTTACTGACCAAACTAAGACATAACCTACTACCAACTTAAAGGAAAGTCTCAGCTGTGAACAAAAGAACTCATAAAAAGAAACCGAGGCATGAGATTATGGATAGAGCAGTGATAATAAAAGGTCTCATAAAATGACATAAGAGAGTCTCCTGAAGGACTGTAAACTGAATAAAATTCACAAGTCAAAAGAGTTAAGCCAATTTCAAAATATGGTATTTTTAAAAAGGAAGATCTGTTCTGCAAAGCAAGAAGTATTAAACAAAACCAGTAACTGTCACTATCACTAAAATCCCATGAACTGTTAAGCACTGAGAGGTGGTGGTATAGTGCATAGTTCAGAAAGATGGAAGGAGATTAATAAACATTGTTGAGATACAGTGGAATAACTTTGCCTGTATTACCCAGCAATTTTTTTCTAAAGGAAAAACACAACTGAAACTGGGTAACAGCTCACAAATGCCCTGTAGGCTGCAGGCAATGAGCAAATCTTGCCTTCAAATTCTGAATAATCAAGTGTCATCTTTATGCAACAAGATTAAATTTCTTTGGACCTCAGATACCTCTTGATATAACCCCTCTGTCTTTGGGGGGAAAGATCATCTTCCAGTGTATCTGTGGCTTAGAACAACATTTGCAAGTTTCCTTCAGTATGAGAACTAAACAAATCAACATGACAGAAGACAGACATTTGCTTGGAGGCTTTTCTTCCTTGTTATGTTAGAACATGCAGATATAACATAAAACTCAAGAGAACAGCATCTTGAAGTGCCTCACCTGAGTAGTTGCTAATCCATTACTGATGTTGAATCCATTGATAGTTATCTGAATTTGCCCACGATTAATCATCTCAATCACAGCTTCTGCAATTGTGTTCATAGGAATGACTGGCATACTGAGGGCGGCATTACCATCTGCATTGTCACAACTGTCAGGACACTTCATCTAAGATAAATCACATAAGCATTAGAGAAAGTACTAGCTTCGGTATCTAAGACTGAACACACAAAGGAGTAGCTCTCACCTTAACAATCTTGACATCGGGGAGGCTGTCAAGGAAAGCCTTCAAGTCAATGCCATTCAAAACAATTCTGTTATCATAAATATGACCATTGGACTTGAAATCAATGACTGCTTTTTTCTGTTAAAAAAAAAAAGTTTTAAAAAAGTTACAAGATCCCTTACCAAGTACTATACTAAGTGCCATTTTATAAGGACAGCTATGGAAAACACCTACTTTTCTTGCCCTATCTTCCTACATACCTTCAGATGGGGGAACATGTTGGCGTGGTCTCCAATAAAGAAAGTGTTTGGCATGTAAGCTAATTTCTCTGAATACTGCTCAGCCACCTCAACTGGAGAAGTTTCTTTATCTGTGATGATGTAGTCCATGAACAACGCCCCACTGGTTCCAGGATACCCTAGCCACATTGCCTAAAACACAAGAAAGCAAGACTCCAGTCCCAGATGCGTTGCAAAAATAAAGTTAAAAATCAACACATTTTAAGTTAAATTTTCCACCTACAGATTCAAGTTCCTTCTTGTGCTTTATCAACTGAAGAGCAACCACTAACCCCAAAAATTTCCCTACCGAGACAGTGAGCAGTCCAAGGATGTTCTAAATCCATCAAGCAAAGGGCCAAAGTATCCAACTATGTGCAGCTATAGCCAGAATAGTGATTACAGCTTCTCTTAGCTGAGACGACTTCCGTAGCCTAGAGTGACTCTGATTCAGGCTTCTCTCATTCTCTTTCCATAGGCATTTTAGAAAATCCTTAGTCAAAAAAATAACTCTGACATGATTCTGACTTATTCTAACTAGAATTTCACTAAGCCTAAAGAGATTAAAACCAACAACTCATTTCCACAACTGCTTCAAATACCCTTTCTTTGTTCTCACTAATGCAAGAAAGCCAGCGGTGTACAGGGACCTCATAGAATTAAGGAGTTCTCTTGCAGGACAGTCAACTGCCAATAAAGCACATAAAAAAACCAAACTACTCTGCTTCAGCAGAATGATCCTATTTGCCTCACATATGCTAAGCCCTAAAAAGTCTTTCGCTTACCAATCAACATGAGCCTTCAACGTTTTTTCCACTCTGCCAGAAGAAAAACAGAAACTCTTCCTACTCACAAGTGCTTTTTTGGAAGATACAGAGCCCTCTAACTTAGTTACCTGAATAGGTGCTGGTCTCAGGGCAAATAATTCATTTCGGGCTCCTTTGGTGTAACCATTCATATTAATGAGAATGTGTATCCCATCCTGATGGATGCGGTCTGCTGCTTTTCCGTTACATGGTATCTGAAGAATAAATAAATATATAAATAAAAAGTTATTTTTGTTTTCAGTCTTTCAGTAATAAATGTGGTTAGTCATCAGTGTACCAATGGATAAATATCAACTGCATAATTTAATTTAGGTGAGACTTAAATATCATTACTCCTGGTTTTACAGAGATATGTCCTCAACTCAATCAAAAAAAAAAAACCCTGTTGAAGCTAAGAAAAACCTAAGTTTGCTAGACACAGTTGAAGCAGTTGCTGACAGAAATTTTAACTGTGCTACTTGAAGATTGCCTCCGCACATTCAAGTCAGAGGAGTGATACCTAGCATTGCCAAGCTCAGCAAGTCATGCAGAAAAATATCACAAATGGACCACAGAAGAAACTTCAACCACCACTGAAACTGCTTCAGTTCTTGGCTAAATCAAAAACAAAGAGCGGAACTTCACAAAAGGTATTACCAATGACTTTCAAGAACAGCAAAGCCTTGGAAATTACAATGTGTCTCTTCCTGTCTAATACAGAAAAGTAAACAATTTTCAAGTTTTAAACTCCTCCAAGAATTAATTATATAATTAGTCATTACCTACAAGCAGATTAAAGAAAATAGATATCTCTAGTTCAGCAGCAGTAAAACAAAAACCAAAGGCTAGAAACTGAGGCTGTACAAACCAGAACAGCCCCACCACCACTACTCCTGTAAGGCTAATTAATGATCAAAGCTCAGGTAGGGCAAGTGGTAGATTCCCAAACTGAGGTAATACAGAGAAATTACTTCAAACTGAAGACCGAGAGTAAGCCAATTAACTACTCTACAGCTACTGCTAATGTTGACTCACTGTACAATTAATATGCACCATAAAAGTACTTCATTTTTGTAAAAAAGGAAAGCTATTTCATATTTTATAGCAGGGTAAATGCATGCACATAGGCAGTTATCTCTCTGAGTGGACAACAATCTGAATTACCATCTTAATTTAACTTTCAGTAAGTTACACTACTAATGCAACAGATCACAGCAAAGTGTTTCCACCTGATTCTCCTGTACAAATCTCTTAAAGAGTTGCACTGTAACCTAAAAATACGAGTTTGATGCCTCAAGAATTTTAAATAAGAAAACTCAGTGTATCACTCTGGGCAAAGGAAAGAATTTTTCCTAGACAGCTGTTAAGTGCAACAACAAATATGAAATTGCTGCCCTGTTTTACTATGACCCAGGGCTTTCAGCATCCACAGCTGCAAAAGCCGCGGGGGTGGACTGCTTTCCACAAACATAACTGAAGCTCATTATTCTAAAAAAGTATTTTAAAAGATCAAGATCAACTTTGCAAAATCCATCTCAAAGAGCAATTCTGCTGACATCAATTTACCATTTTTACTTATGAGAGCAGGTTCTGAACAACACAAATTTAAAAACTAAAGGCAAGTTTTATCTATCACCTAATCTGGGACTGTCTGTGTGCCAATCCAGTTTCACTATTAATGTACACTGATTATCCCATGTTGCTTTAGGGTTTTGCCAGCTATCTTGAGATAGTGTAACAACTCCTTGACTTCTACGTATACTGAACTCCCAATCAGTTTTCACATGGAACTTAAAAAAAAACCAACAGAACCACCTGAGTATGTTACCAAAGCAGCCTTTTGATAGAGGGGCAAAATCCCCCCGTTAATCATTAAGCCTCTGTCCTGCTTCACTGGAGTAAAGCAAGCTTAAATATACTTGCAGTTGTGGCATCTTGACTTACCCATGACATTTAGATATGACTATTATCTTAAGACCTAATGAAACAGTTATTCAATATTGCTAATATTACTTTTTAATAATCTCACAGAGGTCACGCAATAAGCACTGCATCCCAGGTAAGGCATAACACCAATACATCTACAAACTCCAAAATTCTCAAGACTAACATCAGCCTAATTCAAGAAATGATTGCAACTAAAAATCTCAAACTACAGACTGATCTCTCTCTTCATTTAGGTTTCCTAAAAGGTCACTGCATCAAAAAAGCTCACCTGAGATAAGTCAATGAAATGATTTGCTTCAGCCATCACTTTTACACGGAAGTTTGTACCATCATCAGGACTCAGGGCATAGCAGAATACCTAGAATATGAGGCACCAAAAATCGAGTATCTGCAACAACTTGTCAACAAAATAACTTTGCTATAAAGCATATGGTATTGCAATTTTAAGTTACGAGCTAAGCAAAATTACATCTAGCTTCATACAAATGATATTTATTTGTGTTGCTTTTACCAGTTGAGAAAGTAAAAAAAAAAAGGGGGGGGGGGGGGGGGGGGCAGGGGGGGGGGCCGGGGCGGT